AGTTTAATGACATTATTTGCATAATTTCGGTGCTTGAAAAGTAGGCTGCAATTAGTGTTGTTCGAAATGAAAGTCCTCTTTATAAGGTCTACAAATATGGGCTTCCTTAAATTGAACTAGTATATTCTTAAGCTATTTTGACCTCAAGAAGGAATTTATAGATTAGTTAAGAATAAGTGAATATAATTTGAGGTGTGTACATTAATTTTTGTGACTTGTAATTTCGTAACAAAGTCGAACAGATAAGACGTCTATTTTTCATTATTGCGCCAATCCGCCCTCCGGCATTTTTCAAAAATCTTGAAAAACAAATGGTAATAGGTTACAACGAATGCTTTTATCGGATTAGACAAATTTATCTGATAGTACAGCAATGTGCGGTTGCTTAACGTAGGATATATTCAGAAGAAAAGTTGTGCAATTTGAGTTGTACAATAGCTTTCAATGGTGGTCGCGTGGGCGGGAGTGGTAATTGAAAGAAAGTATTTTATTATACTCTTCGTGTAACGTAAATTTCTTTCATTCGTTTAACAGTGTGAAAAAGCATCCAAGCTAATCCGGCTTACTACGAGTATTGGATGCCCATCTAAAATAATCAATGACTTTCGAGCAAGTCAAGTTTTTTTGCTGAATCTGTTATCTGAAATATCGAGATTGAAAAAGATGAAAAACTGTAGTGAAAGAAAAACTGCAATAAAATGTAAGAATCATGTTATATAAACACAAAAAGTCGTCTTGTTTGACGGAGAATGATTGATTTTGGGTCAGGTACCCGCGAACTGTGTTCATTCAGCCGCACGAAAAAAAGATTGTCTCCCTTTGTTGTCAGTTCTGGAACATTCGCTATCTCTAGTGTTTGCTGAAATAGAAAACTCGTTTTATTTCTTATGCAAACAGCCTTCAAGCGACATGTCGAAAACGAGATAACATATTCAGTGAAACCTCATTTTATGAGTCTTTGTTTAGGCGTAGAACTTTCTGGAACACTTCGCGGAGCAGAACATGATCGCCAACGTGGACATCGTTTCTTTGCGGTTCTAAGGTAGACCGGGTGTTTTTTTCTATTGTTGTAGACAGGATAAAGTGAAGTTTATTTAAAAATCTACGAACATTCGTACCAGGATAAATATAAATTATAGCCGGCGTCATTAACCCCACGTTCGCTCGAAGGTAAATTGGTTGAGAAAGATATTGCGTCGTCATTTTGATTTAAGACAAAAGTAATTCTCTTTTACTTCAGTGGAAATACTAGTGATCACGATAGTAAAATTTCAGTTTCTTAGCATTGTGTCAAATTTTCGTAAATATATTTCGGTTTTATAACTTTGTGATGTCCGCAAATATAGGTCCTGAATGGAGCTCTTGCAGTGACCAGTAATACTATCCGGCTTCCCACGTTAATTTTCGGAGCTATTCGCGATTCGGCGCGCGGTTCACGAGGAACACACCATTATGGAGCAGGACTTAATGGCGAAGCACTTCGACGAACTGAGGAAAAGGTTTGCTTTATTTTTTGGCTTTCATCAAGCAACGTTTACAAGGGATAATAGCATTCACCTCTTTCATTTGCAATCTTATTATTGAAATGATAACTTATTTAGGGTTTTATATCTGTAATCCCCCGTATCATTGTCACACATGCTGACGACAAGAACGGATTCAGTCCAGTTTTACATTTTTAAGTCGAAGCGTTTCATCGCCGACTAGTTTTAAGTAGGTAAATGCATGAAATATACATTGCACTACTTGAAAATCCTATGTATGGTCTTTTGCACTCCGAATTTTGAAAACAAATGATGTATTTAAAATAGTTCTTAAACGTAATAATTTTCGGTTTTTTGTTATCGTGGAGGCGTCATAGCTCGTCATCCAATATTATTTTCTATTTTGATTCTATTTGCTGGAACTGTCAAACACTGAATTGAAGTCTATCTTTACAGTACGATGAAGAAAACTGGCTCTGGGAAGTCGTCCCACGGAAGAGCATTTACATCACAATAACGCCGTATTGGTATAATCTGCATCTTGAATACAGTGTCTTTAATTTAGTTTTTTCTTCCGTTTTATGTTCTTCAGTGAAAGAAAAATATGTTCAGAGATTTATATCAAGAGCAGAGAATACTTTATTGATTATAGTCTTTTTTTTATTGTGAAAACACGGCGTAACGCTATGAGGAAACAAAGTCTGTGACCCGTATCAAATGTTGGACATGATTTTTCTAGCAAACGAGATATTTCAAAATTAATTAAATTGCTCGAATTTTAGGAGAATTTAAAATAGCCCTGTCCGCGCTTTGTTTGCACTTTCGGTAAAGTTCGTACAACAAAACAAACACAAAACCGAAAAGGGCAGCTGGGAAGGCAGATAGGTTCTTTCTAGTTTTCTGCCTATTTCGATAAAAGCGTTGTCTGGCTAGTGCCTAGGCGTCGAATTTCCCGCGCGCGGCCGACGAATTTCAAGCTTGTCTGCGCCATGTAATTCCATACGGGGACTTGACTAAGTTTTCTAGATCATACCCTGTAGATATCTTTTTTACTTTTATAAACCTAGCGATCAATATCACGTTTTCCCAAGGTTAAGGTTTTCCTCTCGTTTTAAGGTGCAGGTTTTGAGAGCGTTCGTATTTACGCGATTTTCGAGTCTGTTCACTTGTCTAATTTAAATCGGTTTGTGTTGTCACCACCTTTTTGAAGTGAAGCAATGTTTTTTGTTCATCGTCAGGCTAAGTTTTCACTAACAGCTAACAGCTATCATTATGTAGTCAGTCGAGTGTGACTTCTACAAACTTTATGATATAGTTCTTATGGCTCGGCTGTTGTTAAGTTGAAAGCGAATTGTTGACTGTAATGAAGAACGAAGACGATTCCGTGTTGTGAAAAGTGTGAAACAGTACCGCTTAGGTCAGTGTTAAAAGGGAAAAATCAAGTTTAGAATTGTGGCGGAAACATTTAGCCAAGAAAATGTTTTTAATAGTGACAGCTAAGGATTAAAGTGATTTTCATTCTCCCCCAAAAATATAGATTATTGTTCCTTTTAAGGTTTTTAAAAAATTTCTAACGATCGTTCTCCTCGTCATTTCACATGTAATACCCCAGTGGGTAAGTGTTGTTTTTGTCATTGGCCACTCAGCTGGCTCTGTCTGAGTTCTATTCATCCAGTTCAATTTGGCTGAGGTAAAATTGTTTGCTAGAGTAAAGAATCCTGCGTTAGTAATTTGGCCTAAAATAGGTAACATAGTTTCCTGCACAGAGTAAGCACGTATAAGTTTGTTTGAACGAAGCCGGAATTCTCTGCACCATTAAACACAGCAGTCGTTTGACATTTTAACTTTTAAATTGGCTTAACGTTTGGTCATGAAAAGATCCGGTCACTTTTAACTCACCGAGGTAGAGGCCAAAAATTTGGCAAATTATCATAAACAGTATTTCATTTCGAAAAAAATTGAACATCCGAAGAAGCCGACGGGGCTAATGTCGTGCTAGTTTTATGGTAATGGCGAAATGACAATATTTATGCGTTTATTGAGGGAAAAAAGTTCCAGATGTTTCGATTTTTCTTTATTAAAATTTTAGCTGCATCACGCGCTCTGTAGAAACAAGTTGATTTTCCCAAAAAATCGTCTTTTTTCGCCGCCAGACGCGGTTAGCAGAAATGCCGGAAAGTAGTAAGTTTATACATCGAGAATATTTTTTTCTGCTTTTTGCGCTAAGCTTTCATCTTACCGCAGCACAGTCTAAACAGAAGCTGCAATCACGTGTATGAAACTGTAGAAAACGTGTAAATCATGCGTTCTTATGAAATTAAGGACAGCGAAGACGCGCTAAGAGGATAAAAACTAATATCGGTTGTTATAACGTGTATGCAGAAAACGTCTTTTTACTCCGAAAATACCAACTGATTGATATCGGTTTTGCGGTAGATGTCAAGGGATGTTTTAATCTGGAAAAGACTGTGGTATTACAAATTTAAAAATCTTAATGTACAAATTAGTTATCAAACTGCATAAGTTATTCTTTTGTAGTCATGTGATTAAGGTGCATCTTCGAACGAGTGGGGGGGGGGGGGCGGGAAACCGGGCAGGCCCAACCCAGGCAAATGGGACCAGGGGGGGAAACCCTAACCGCCTTAAATCATCAGGCGACAAAAGGCAGGGAAATAAAAAACAACCTAACTGTTAAAGTAAGCAAAAAGGGGAAAAAACAAGGCGGGAAAAAAAAATTAGGCCAAAACAAAACCAACAAACTCCCCCACCCTGGTTTGGGGGGAAGTGTAAAGGGATTTTTTAATTTGGAAAATACTGGTGAATTAAAAAATTAAAAATTTTTATTTAAAAATTATTTTTCAAACTGAAAAATTTTTTTTTTTGTAGGCATGGTATTAAGGTGCATTTTCGAAGGGGGGGGGGGGGGGGGGCAGGGAATCTGGCAGAGCCAACCCATGCTAATGTGTACATGGTCGGAAACTCTCAACTGCTTTAATCATGCAGCAGACAAAAACAAGGGATATAAAAAACAGCGTACTGTTTACAGTAGCAAAAAGGGGAACAACACTAGCGTGCAAAAAAATATTAGATAAAACACAAACTACCAACTCTCCCAACTCGGTGTGGCCTGTACCCTACGCATGCGCACAGCCATATCATCCACAGTGATAGCCATGGATAGCTGTTTCGCCCTTATTAGGACTTATCGGCATGGCATAGCCGTCAGACTCCCGTGTTCACGGGTGTGTTTTCGCCCTGAATTTGGTGTTGTTAGAAAATATTACCCATCTTAAACTGAGCATGGGCTAGGCGTTAACTTCGTGGTATGACACTCGCGGGTATAAATTATTTGCCTTTTTGAAGGATAGAAACGTTGTGTAACTATCTTGCCTTCCTTCAAGTCTGCTATATAAACATTCTTGGATGAAATGAGCCACGTATAAGGTTTAGAAAAGTAACCTTAACCGACGGCGGCGACAGCGGAGAAATCGCCGCTTTAAAAGTTAATTCGCGGTCTTTCAATCTTCATCGCGATTATTACAAATCACTTACTTTGTCAAATTTTGGCGATCTCTCCAAGAGTTGAATTTCCAGAACTATATTCAGTTTTAGTAAGAGAAAGAAAGTTTCCTCCAGGCTTGTTTACGTCCTCCATTAAACGTGAAATTAGGCATTTTCACGTCGTATTCGTACAGCGACGACAAAGAAATGTACAAAAATTGTGCTGCACGTGCGAAGTTGTTGTTTCGCTAGTTAAACCTCTTACTTTTTTGACGGTCTGCTGTTGTAAGGTGTAATGTGTTTTAATTTTCCCTTCCATTTACAGCCTTTCCAGTGACAGCGAACGGATATTAACCAATCTACTCAGCTCGCCGGCGTACTCTTCAGATTTCTTTAAGATGGATGAGGAGAGATCTAGCCAGCCTGTGAGGAGAGTAGGGGAAACAGTGCGTATAGCGTGCTTAGACATCGGCTCTTACCGCCCACAGGACATGGTATGGCAGGTTGAAGACGAGCACGTATTGGTACAAGGAAAGCGCGCCCAGAGGGTTGATAAAGGCGTCGAAGGAGCAAAATTTTCAAGAGCTATTCCTATCCCAGATGGAGTGGACCCGAAGCGAATATCAACAAGATTTAACGACATAGACGGACAATATATCATTGAGGGAGTGAAATTTGAAAAGGAACAACGTACGCCGAAAAGGAAGACTAGTTGTGAGGTTTTTAATGAGGCGAAAATGACGTTGACAATCGATTTAGGAAACTCCAGGGCACAGAAACTGGTTCATAACGATTTGAGTATGAACCACTTGACAGGAAACAGGCGCGTCTTTGACCCTGAAACGGATAAAATTGTAATTTAGGGTTAGTGTTTTAAAGACTGGTTTGCTCATGCCTAAATGGAGGCTAATTGAAATTTTGAGCGCAAAACGCGCCTACACGCTCGTGGTTTGGCGTCTTGCAACTTTTTGTGAGTGAGGGGAAATTCCAGAAGAAAGATAATGGTTTGCCCGAATAGTTAAGGAGAATGATTTTTTTTAGGGGCTTGAACAGCTGAAAATGCGTTAAAGTTTTAAGATGAATTTGATTATCTAATTGTTTGCTAAAGCAAGACTGTTACGTGGGTTGAAAATGTGTCGAAATTAATTTTGTCAGTCTTGAGCTGAAATAGAAAGTATAATGAATTTTGAGCTATGATAGGTCAGGCAATTTCTGAATCGACCCATCAAATCGAATCTGGCAACATTTTGGGTGCAAAAGCAAAGTTTCGATACGAAAGTTAACATATTTTAATTGAAAACAAAACGTGCTTTACCCCGTTTGCATGTTTTTGCGATAAATTTTATTGGTTAATTCAGTTTTTTAGAATTTGTTGGTGACGTGTGACTGATTCCCGATTACATATTTGTATTTGAATGGCTAATTTATTGTATGATTTTATAGAAATTTTGAGGTCAGAACTACACCACTATTTAATTGATATAACGATCATTGCATCTCTTGTTTCAATCGACTATTTTGAGGAGGCGAGTGGACTGAGTCCATGTCGCGTCGAAATGCACTGTGGGACTGTTTGGGGGACGAATTTTGACCCAGCTTCCATTGCAGCCTCGTGAAAGTAAATTACCAAAGCGACAGTATCCATACAATTGTCCCATAATGCAGTTCGGTACAACAGCGACCTAGTCAAGCACAAACTCCAACTGGCCGGTCCAGGGACCAGTTTCTTGAACGTCCCGATAACCAACGGGCCCGCAAAGTTGTTGTTGTTTACGTGCAAGATAGGGGTTTCAATAGTTTGGCATCTAACGTGATAAAACTATCAGTTAGTGAAACAAAATGGAGTAGTTTGCTAACCAGGACCCGCGCTGTTATTCTTTATATTTCGATTTGAATATTTGATTTCGGGCCCGAAAAGTTACCGGGACTTTCGAGAAACATACCCCAAGCTCCTAGAGGAAAAAACGCGCGTACTCCTCTTAGAGGGTTCTCATTAGGATCCTTCAATCCCGTAATCTCGGTGGCCCCCAACAACGACAACAACAACAACGATAACTTTATTTATCAACGGTTAAAAAATCATCAGGCTAAGTGAACTACTACAAAATTGTAACTTATTTAACTAATTGAAATTTTAACTAATTAACGGTAATAAGATTCTTAATCAAAAAAATTGTACCTGCTTTACATGATTGCAGTGATCACTGCAGTCGTGTTTAAAAGCGGAAAGAGTTTGCGCTTGCGGCAGCTCAATGGGTAGAATATTCCACAGCACCGAACCTCTGTAGCTGAAACTGTTTTTAGCATAATTTGTGCGGGGCAGTGGAATAGCTAGCTTGCCCTTAGAATCCCTGACGGAGTAACTAGAGACTTCAAGGAAAACAACGAATTCAAATATTGCAGGGCGAAGCCATTTGGAGACTTATAAACCATAGCTGCAGTTTGAATTTTCTGTTGAGCCTCTAGCTTTTTCCAGGCTAAGGATGTAAAAAGATTGTCAACACTGGCATCATAAGGAGAGAAGGTCATGATACGGGCGGCGCGATTTTGAAGTTTCCGCAGTTTAGTTGCAAGGGATTTGTTGCAATTCCCCCAAACAACGCTACAATATTCAAAATATTGCATGTTGTTCAAAAGGTAGATAACGTTATCTACCGGATAAATCTCTATCCACTGGATAGCGCAAATGGTTTCCCAAATACTTATCCGCTGGACAAATATTTTATGGTTTTTTCGTACCTCCTTCCTATCTTAATAGTTTCTTTGTTTCATAGTTTTATGGTTTTTGTGGTTAACACAACGGACATACTTGCCCACGTATAAATCGACCAAATGAATAGATCTATTATTGCCTGCTTTTAGCTAACACTTTTTGTAAACGCTTTTAGAAAATTAAGCTCAGTGTAGTCAACGTTTTCAACGTATTAAGGTCACTTCCAACGTCTGAACGCTTCGCTTGAATAAACTTTTTTTAAACTCCTAGCGTGGTGAACATTGTTGTGTCAAACAGTTTAAGCGCGTACCGAGTTCTGTTTTAACGTGGGAAGAACGCAAAGTTTTCTGCATGTCCTGTGAGCAATGTTCCGCGCTCACAGCCCCCACCCCCCACCTATCGTGAAAAGTAACGCGCGAGGGGCACGCGAGAGAAGACGCGAAAGCGGGGGTCGGGGGAACCGGCACCTCGCCGTTCTCTCGCGTGTTCTTGTGCGGCTCGCTTCGGCCGCCCAAATAGGAGAGCTTGCTCGCAGGCTAATCTCCCGCTACCGCTTTGAAAAACCGGTTTTTTGAGAAAAAGAAAACGACCGTTCTGCAGTCTTTGGTCAGAAATATTTAACGGTGAACGACCCTTTCAGTAAAAAAAAAAAAAATTTTGAAACATGAACTGAAAACAAGAAAAAATTAGTCGAATGAAAGGCGTTCATTGATTCCGTGGGGATTTTGGGTGGATTTTCCGGCTGTCTATGCTTCCTTGGTGAGGAGGGATAGCACAGAGAACGAAGAAGAACAATCAAACGATTTGGTAATGTGTAATGAAATGTGCAGACACCCTTCAAGCTTTGGTTTCAACTGAATATATTTGAACACCTTTTTACAGAGAAAGTTCTGTGTACTTGGATAAATGTAACATGAACAATAAACAGACAATAGTTAATGCAGCCTATTAAAATACTCAATACAATAACGGTCCTGGTACTTATAAATTGTCAATCTTGCACTTTGGTGATTGAAAACTGCTTCTCAAGATAGTGTTAAAACACGTTAACAGAGTAGTTAAACATTCATTAAATACTCTTCAAACAAACTTTTCTTGCATAAAATTATGTTGGCTGAAAGGAAGCTTTGATGCTCTCACCACAATCATTCACTGATCATTGAATGAAGTTTTTTGTTTTATAGGTTTGTAGCCCCAATCTGCAGGTTTTTTTAGTTCCTTTTTTGTTTTGTTTTGTTTTTATTTTGTACCTCAAGGATACTCTTGTAAACTTTTGCAATAGTTGCTTGCCATGTAAAAATGGAACTGAATCCAAAACACTAACATTTTTGTCTTTAGCCAATAAAGTTACAAATTGCTTTGAAATCCCATATCAATAAGTCCTTCAGCTGCAGCCCAGTCAAAAAAGTTTCTCAAAAGTACTGTCAGTAGGAGAACCAGAGTAGCTCACCAAGAATCTCACTTCTTTCCTCAACTTACATGTTGTTCAACTTAGAAAACCCCAGTGAGATTCAAGCTTGTAAAACAAATTTACAGTCTCTTCTATGACTAGTGATTAAACATACTCCTCAACAAACTTGGTCTTCTCAGTAAATTCCTCATGTTGCCCGAAAAACTGCCAGTTAGCCACTTTATCATACAGAAAACTGTAAGTGGCCTAGCTTTTGTACTTATTTTATTAAATGTCTCACTGACGGCGAAATGGTGAATTTTCTGATATCATCAGAGACCAGCCTTGGAATGGTTGCACAGACACATCATCAGTATTTGAACTCTGGTGCAGGGTAAATCCCAGCATTCCAGCCACAAGTGCCGCACTATCTGTGACCAGACTGGTGGAATCTTTGAGGGTGATAGGTACGCTGACTAGTCCCTTAGTCATATCACTGATCCTCAAATTAAACCTTACTTTCATTGGCCCCTCCAAAAATTCTGTTATCCATCCTCTGTAAATGTAACTGCCCTGTATAATCATGCCCGAGCCATTTTCATTCTCATAAGTGACAATGTGGCTCCACCATTTCCTATCTGGTCTTCCTTGATAAGTGTCCAGCAATTTGCTGAACACTGTCTCAACCACATTCCACCACTCTGACCTCAGGCCAAGGTCGTCCTCAATGGGCTCCAGAAGCGTTCGGAGCACCTTTATATTGGATGACAACTTCTTCCAATCGTCTTCACTTCCAAGCATCTCCACCGCCGGAATTCCACAACCAGCTCTCAAGCTGTAATAAAAGTACTCTTTTAGAGAGTACATCAATGTAATCTGAGAAACAATCTTTTGCACTGGAGTTGTGGTGCTGAAATCGGCTGTCATGCCATCTATGAACTCGGGAACCCTGACATTATCTTCAATTTTCTTTGCTATCTCATCAAAGAACCAGCTGTAATCGACTGTGTAAATAGTGGGATCGCTCACTTGCACCTCAATCTCTTTTTTGCCTTCATGATTGACAAACATTTTCCGCACGGACGTTTTCTCTGCGTTGGTCTCTATGGCGCAGGCAACACGTTTGATCACGCTGAACCACCAGTCATCTGGCGAAGTTCTCAGCTTCCAGTGATTATTGTAGGCGGTGAAGACGGCCCCAAAAAGCCCACAGTTTCCAATGGAATAAATTTTCTCTTCTGATCCAACTGCGGCGATTATTTTCGAGGAAGGGCTCCCTTCTTTGGCACGAACAATCTCTTCTTCGCCGAATATCAAGGACGTAAGGTTTGGCGCATTCTCTTTGATCAACTCCTTGGCTTCGTGTTGTTCAAGCCCAGCATCTTCGATCTTCGATGGCACAAGGTTGATTGCAAGCATTACACTATTGACATCCGGTTTACTCAGTTGATCTGTCGGGCTGTGAGACGTTTTGGAGGTTTTCTTCACCTTCTTCTCCATCGCTGCACAACAATTTGCACAACAACCTTTAGCAAAGCGCGGGAAAAGTGCTGGCAATCGTCAAAGTCAAAGAATGCGCCAATCACAATGAAGGGCTTCCCGCGACTTGTAATTACGTCACTTACACCACCGTATTTCAGTTGTTTTTTTTTCTTGTTGTTGTTGTTTTCCCACTTTCTTATCAACTTAGTGTCATGGACTTGTACGTGAGCTTACAAAAAGTTTCCCTCAGTTAAGTTTTTTTCCCACAAAACGATAGTGACTCCAAGCTAGAAGTTGCGTGACAAGATTGTGGCGCGAAATTTCCGCTTGAGCCGATGTTGGCCGATGATATCACTTGGCGCAGCGGTCATCGTTTACTAATACAATTTCGCCAAATACTTTTTCCTCTTTCAATGATTCAAGAGAAAAATAGACTTTTGGGGCTTCTACTTGAACTTCATTGCTATAAAGCATCACCACTGTCTACTAAAAAGATGAACGAAGTCAAAGAAAGAGAAAAAATGTAGCTACGCGTCGACAAGAACCAGTGCACGAGTTTCTTTGCTTTGCTTGCCGTTGCTAGCCATGAAGGCAGCTGGCTGTGAATGGGCTCTTTTGAGCCCGGAAGGGACTTATCATAAGCTTTCCGAACCAAATTTTTTTGTAGGGCGAGAAGATGAGATGGACTTAACACTAAAGGTAGGGTTAAGATGGATTTCTTCTGCAACAATTGACCTAGAATTTTATGTGATAAAGTCGCTGCTGACGCGATGCCTGCAGCGTTGTACAATCGAATCTCGAAGCAATATTGAGCTTATAGTTTTGTGATATGTTTGTGAAATTTCCTTTTTCTTCCTACTTGGAAATACACTGTAGCCAATTTTTGCCCTAACATGGAAAATTCTTCTGGGCGTGCTCCACCCAAAACAGCTGATTTTAATACGTAGCTCCTGCTAAAACTCAGGCAAACCATTTCATCGTCAATGAACAGAATTTCAAATCCCTTTAGAAATCACAACGATGTTGTTAGAGAAGAAAAGTTTCCGCAATATCACAGTCAAGTGTTGGGAATTTTTATCCTCACCCTAAAATAGACAAGATAATCTTGCACTTTGGTGATTGAAAACTGCTTCTCAAGATAGTGTTAAAACACGTTAACAGAGTAGTTAAACATTCATTAAATACTCTTCAAACAAACTTTTCTTGCATAAAATTATGTTGGCTGAAAGGAAGCTTTGATGCTCTCACCACAATCATTCACTGATCATTGAATGAAGTTTTTTGTTTTATAGGTTTGTAGCCCCAATCTGCAGGTTTTTTTAGTTCCTTTTTTGTTTTGTTTTGTTTTTATTTTGTACCTCAAGGATACTCTTGTAAACTTTTGCAATAGTTGCTTGCCATGTAAAAATGGAACTGAATCCAAAACACTAACATTTTTGTCTTTAGCCAATAAAGTTACAAATTGCTTTGAAATCCCATATCAATAAGTCCTTCAGCTGCAGCCCAGTCAAAAAAGTTTCTCAAAAGTACTGTCAGCAGGAGAACCAGAGTAGCTCACCAAGAATCTCACTTCTTTCCTCAACTTACATGTTGTTCAACTTAGAAAACCCCAGTGAGATTCAAGCTTGGAAAACAAATTTACAGTCCCTTCTATGACTAGTGATTAAACATACTTCTCAACAAACTTGGTCTTCTCAGTAAATTCCTCATGTTGCCCGAAAAACTGCCAGTTAGCCACTTTATCATACAGAAAACTGTAAGTGGCCTAGCTTTTGTACTTATTTTATTAAATGTCTCACTGACGGCGAAATGGTGAATTTTCTGATATCATCAGAGACCAGCCTTGGAATGGTTGCACAGACACATCATCAGTATTTGAACTCTGGTGCAGGGTAAATCCCAGCATTCCAGCCACAAGTGCCGCACTATCTGTGACCAGACTGGTGGAATCTTTGAGGGTGATAGGTACGCTGACTAGTCCCTTAGTCATATCACTGATCCTCAAATTAAACCTTACTTTCATTGGCCCCTCCAAAAATTCTGTTATCCATCCTCTGTAAATGTAACTGCCCTGTATAATCATGCCCGAGCCATTTTCATTCTCATAAGTGACAATGTGGCTCCACCATTTCCTATCTGGTCTTCCTTGATAAGTGTCCAGCAATTTGCTGAACACTGTCTCAACCACATTCCACCACTCTGACCTCAGGCCAAGGTCGTCCTCAATGGGCTCCAGAAGCGTTCGGAGCACCTTTAACTTGGATGACAACTTCTTCCAATCGTCTTCACTTCCAAGCATCTCCACCGCCGGAATTCCACAGCCAGCTCTCAAGCTGTAATAAAAGTACTCTTTTAGAGAGTACATCAATGTAATCTGAGAAACAATCTTTTGCACTGGAGTTGTGGTACTGAAATCGGCTGTCATGCCATCTATGAACTCGGGAACCCTGACATTATCTTCAATNCTTCTATGACTAGTGATTAAACATACTCCTCAACAAACTTGGTCTTCTCAGTAAATTCCTCATGTTGCCCGAAAAACTGCCAGTTAGCCACTTTATCATACAGAAAACTGTAAGTGGCCTAGCTTTTGTACTTATTTTATTAAATGTCTCACTGACGGCGAAATGGTGAATTTTCTGATATCATCAGAGACCAGCCTTGGAATGGTTGCACAGACACATCATCAGTATTTGAACTCTGGTGCAGGGTAAATCCCAGCATTCCAGCCACAAGTGCCGCACTATCCGTGACCAGACCGGTGGAATCTTTGAGGGTGATAGGTACGCTGACTAGTCCCTTAGTCATATCACTGATCCTCAAATTAAACCTTACTTTCATTGGCCCCTCCAAAAATTCTGTTATCCATCCTCTGTAAATGTAACTGCCCTGTATAATCATGCCCGAGCCATTTTCATTCTCATAAGTGACAATGTGGCTCCACCATTTCCTATCTGGTCTTCCTTGATAAGTGTCCAGCAATTTGCTGAACACTGTCTCAACCACATTCCACCACTCTGACCTCAGGCCAAGGTCGTCCTCAATGGGCTCCAGAAGCGTTCGGAGCACCTTTAACTTGGATGACAACTTCTTCCAATCGTCTTCACTTCCAAGCATCTCCACCGCCGGAATTCCACAGCCAGCTCTCAAGCTGTAATAAAAGTACTCTTTTAGAGAGTACATCAATGTAATCTGAGAAACAATCTTTTGCACTGGAGTTGTGGTACTGAAATCGGCTGTCATGCCATCTATGAACTCGGGAACCCTGACATTATCTTCAATTTTCTTTGCTATCTCATCAAAGAACCAGCTGTAATCGACTGTGTAAATAGTGGGATCGCTCACTTGCACTTCAATCTCTTTTTTGCCTTCATGATTGACAAACATCTTCCTCACGGACGTTTTCTCCGCGTTGGTCTCTATGGCGCAGGCAACACGTTTGATCACGCTGAACCACCAGTCATCTGGCGAAGTTCTCAGCTTCCAGTGATTGTTGTAGGCGGTGAAGACGGCCCCAAAAAGCCCACAGTTTCCAATGGAATAAATTTTCCCTTCTGATCCAACTGCAGCGATTATTTTCGAGGAAGGGCTCCCTTCTTTGGCACGAACAATCTCTTCTTCGCCGAATATCAAGGACCTGAGGTTTGGCGCATTCTCTTTGATCAACTCGTTGGCTTCGTGTTGTTCAAGCCCAGCATCTTCGATCTTCGATGGCACAAGGTTGATTGCAAGCATTACACTATTGACATCCGGTTTACTCAGTTGATCCGTCGGGCTGTGAGACGTTTTGGAGGTTTTCTTGACCTTCTTCTCCATCGCTGCACAACAACTTTTAGCAAAGCATGCACGCGGGAAAAGTGCTGGCAATCGTCAAAGTCAAAGAATGCGCGCGCCAATCACAATGAGGGGCTTCCCGCAACTTGCAATTACGTGAATACACCACCGTATTTCAGTTGTTTTTTTTTTCTTGTTGTTGTTTTCCCACTTTCTTATCAACTTAGTGTCATGGACTTGTACGTGAGCTTACAAAAAGTTTCCCTCAGTTAAGTTTTTTTCCCATAAAACGATAGTGACTCCAAGCCGGTAGTTGCGTGACAAAATTGTGGCGCGAAATATCCACTTGAGCCGATGTTGGCCGATGATATCACTTGGCGCAGCGGTCATCGTTTACTAATACAATTTCGCCAAATACTTTTTCCTCTTTCAATGATTCAAGAGAAAAATAGACTTTTGGGGCTTCTACTTTAACTTCATTGCTATAAAGCATCACCACTGTCTACTAAAAAGATGAACGAACTCAAAGAAAGAGAAAAAATGTAGCTACGCGTCGACAAGAACCAGAGCACGAGTTGCTTTGCTTTGCTTGCCGTTGCTACCCATGAAGGCAGCTGGCTGTGAATGGGCTCTTTTGAGCCCGGAAGGGACTTATCATAAGCTTTCCGAACCGAATTTTTTTGTAGGGCGAGAAGATGAGATGGACTTAACACTAAAGGTAGGGTTAAGATGGATTTCTTTTGCAACAATTGACCTAGAATTTTATGTGATAAAGTCGCTGCTGACGCGATGCCTGCAGCGTTGTACAATCGAATCTCGAAGCAATATTAAGCTTATAGTTTTGTGATATGTTTGTGAAATTTCCTTTTTCTTCCTACTTGGAAATACACTGTAGCCAATTTTTGCCCTAACATGGAAAATTCTTCTAGGCGTGCTCTCACCCAAAACAGCTGATTTTAATACGTAGCTCCTGCTAAAACTCAGGCACTATCATTTCATCGTCAATGAACAGAATTTCAAATCCCTTTAGAAATCACAACGATGTTGTTAGAGAAGAAAAGTTTCCGCAATATCACAGTCAAGTGTTGGGAATTTTTATCCTCACCCTAAAATAGACAAGATATGGATAGTGTAATTCTGAAAGGCCTTTCTTTTTTGCCCCCTATGGAAATATGGAAAACATGATTCTGGCAGTTCGTTTTTTACACAATAGTTCTCTTCCGAGTTACCCTACGCTTTGTTTCTTTCTACTCAGTAAGATATACAAATCCTAATGAATTCATTTTATCTGTATATACAGTCAAGGAGTGTGGATAAACAACATGCAGTGATCTCAGTCAATTTGGAGAATGCTGAATACAAATTGCATGATCTTGGAACCTTGAATGGTGTAAGTATGTCAATTCCATGGAATGCTACAGATCCAATAAAATTAGAGGTTCTAGAGAGCTGCGTACTATCCGATTCCCTACCATGTGCAATTCTATTACTAAAGCCGCAGATTGGTATCAATTTGCAAGATGCACAGGGCACCCAGACAGCTTCTGTGTGTAGCAGTTCGTCACCAAAACATTTCCATAACAACACCATGTTCTCCCCTCCCACTCCCCCACCTCCAAATGTTGCCAGGGTGCAAAGAAAGTCGGTTTACGGCTTGCCATTCAGGCAAGTTGTTGCTAGTGCAGCCTATATTCAACGTAGCCCCCCAAAAATTTTGATGAGCAGCATTCTAATGTCAAGAAGACATTAAACTTAAAGGGTTTTTTGTAGTGAACGGGAAACCCGTTCAGTTCTGGTCCTAAGTGACCGGGCTAACGTTTTAGGTGGTCGGGACCCGATAGCCTGTGTTGAAAGAAACGTTGCTGTTTGCATAACCTTTGTTTCCAATTTTGTCTGGCCATTACATGTACAGCCATCCCTAGAAAAATCGTAGTCTTAAAGCTTAAAGGTTATGCAGAATTTGAAGTAAACAAGGTCTGTTATGGATGATACAAATGTGATGATAAAATGCTTCATTTTTTTCCCCGCATAGTGTGGAGGACTAAGTTACAGTATGTTTGGGATTTTAAGAGAAATTTTCTTTCGTTTTCTATTCATTGTTGCTGTAGTATCATTGTGTTTTTTTTTCAGACATTTGTGAACGAAATGAGAATTAGCCAGCAGCCAGTGGACTTAAAACTAAAGGACAATATCCGATTTGGATATGATATCCTTTAAAAAACTGCAGTTAATTTAGATCTTTTATTTCTTTTAATAGCAAGGTAAAACCATAATTAAATGTCTCCAGACTGATTGAATGACAACCCTGTATTCAAGCAAATTCTTGTATATTCTCTATTTTCTTCTCATACATTGGAACGTTCCCATCCCTGGCCCACACCAGACCTTAGTAATTACCATATAAGTTGCTAAGGTTTATGGAATGATAGTAGTCAGTGATATTGTTACTACAATCATGTGGCGAGAGATACAATTCACTGTGACTTTGAAGATGACTACATGTACTATACAGGGTGTCGAAACATCAGTCACTGTCAATATCAGTTCATTCAGGAGTACACCAAACCAGACAATCACATTCCACGTACTTATGACATGTCTTCTGGGCTCAAACCATTCACTGAATTATGTAGATTTTATTATAAAATTTTAATCATTATGCCAGGCAATCTTCTGACAGGACCACAAAAATTTGCCTTTCATTATATAATATATTTTATTTTTTACTTTGGGAATTTTACTTTGAAATTGTAGTGTTAAATAATTTTAAAGAAAATGCTGATTATATAATTTTCCCCCTTAAAATTGAATGCTTCAAGGCATTATATAAATCTCTTCCACTAACATTGTAATTACAAATGCAATCATTTAAATATGCAGGAGAAAAGATGGGAGAAAAATATATTTTCTCCTCAGTGAATACTTTACCTTGAATCTGGCTATTTTCAGTAGTGTTAATGTGAAATGCTGAAAGGACTGCCTTAGAAAAAGAGAACTTTTGGACTGAAATGTATGCTTTCCAATGTTGCTGTGACAAACAAAATATTAAAATGGCTGTCACTTTTGGATAAAGCATAAAATAAATATTAGCAGGTGGAGTATGTGATTGGTTTTTGTGGGTGTCTGGAATAATAGCAAAATTAGACCCAACAAAAAATTATATGCAAATTTCAATCTTGAGTTCTGGCTGTATTCATTGCTTTAATGGAGCTTTGTGAATAGATGAATCCTTTGAATTTCCATCTAGAAAATAATCAAGACATTTTTATGTTGAAGTATGAAGACTGCAAATAATGCAGCAGACATTTGAAGAGGGGAAAATCTACTATGTGTGTTTCTCAGACACCATTTCCAGAAATACTTTTAATTATGATCACAACATGTACATCTGCCCTCAGTCTTGTGGGCCCATGTTATGCCCAGGCTGTTTCCAGCCAGAGCTTCATCTTCAATGCCAGGTACAAATTTTTTTTCATTTGTATAGCTGATAGTTTCATTGTCACTTTCACCTACATGCATACTCCTGTTCTGTAGTTTTTGTGAAGGAACGATATATGTATATATAAAGTTTGACATTTTTAATTCATCATTGAAAAGATTTTGTCAAGATGAATAAACATATGTTAAGCAGTTGAAGGAAATATTGTTGCTGGGTTTTTGCTTGCGAAAAATTTTTAAAGTCCCAATTTGGTTCAACTTGTCCATAAATAAGATGTTTTATTGTTAAAAAAGTAATGTTTTTATTTTGATGTTTAACCGAACTTAATATTTTTATGGTAATTTTTTATTAGTAAAGTACTGTGTGTCAGGTTATCAATTACATGTTCTTAGCAAATGACTGTTTGCAAAATTGATTTAAAAGCAAATATCAAAATTTATCTTTCTCTGCACAAATTAAACTGAATACATGTATATAAAATAATCTTTTTTCCTTCTTTTTTTTTGCCTTACTCAATTGATTTGAATCATGTCCTTGGCACAAAGCCTGAGGTTTGGAAATGGTTGAAAAACTACACTTGTACATGCAAATTTTCTGGTACTAACAAAATATATTTAAGCCATAAAAGTAAAATAAAAATGGAACAAATTAACAATGTTTGTTTGCTAATAGCAGGACTTCTTGAGTCAGTTATAGTGTAGAATATTTGTTGGAAATCCATATGCATATTGACCAAGCATTACATGTATGTCAAGGTGATTAGATATTCATTAAGGTACATAAAAATGCAAAAAGGATAAGGCCAATATTCATGATCTCTTCTATATCAGTACTAAAATGTTACTAAAAAATGTCAGTAGTATTACATAATATTATTTTTGAATTTTTATTAGAGTTCATTGATAATTTTTATTATTATTGCATTGAAATATACAGCAAGTGATAAAGTTACTTCCTTTTTTTTAATTTTGGGTTTCTATTTTTTACATTGTTTTTGAGAATACATAATTTTTTTGGTTTTGAAACACCTGCAGAGCATTGTGGGATTTGTTGACACATGTGTAAGGCCCAGGCCCCCCCAGACAGGTGGTATTTTGATTACATAGCAGGTGCCTCTAGTGTAATAACAGCATGCATGGCTGGTGACAGAATCAAAGTAAAGCCACAGTATTTAAATTCAGACTAAAACAAGAAGTTAACTCCTTTATGATCATCTATAAGGCCAAGAATTCATGTGACATAATCTGATTACAGTTCTTCTGTAATTTGAATTTCCCAAAAAACATCACTTGCCCTTTGGGCAAGTCAAGACCAGGATTCACTGGCCCGATTGCAAAATCCACCAGCCCTGGGCTATCGGACACAACTTTCTTTGCACGCTGTTTGCATAACCTTTGTTTCCAATTTTGTCTTGGGCATTGCATGCACAGCCATCCCTAGAAAAATTGTAGCCATAAAGCTTTAAGCTTATGCAGAATTTGAAGTAAACAAGGTATGTTCTGGATGATACAAATGTGATGATAAAATGCTTCATTTTTTCCCCGCATAGTGTAATGTGGAGGACTAAGTTACAATATCATGCTTGGGATTTTAATAGAAATTTTCTTTGGTTTTCTATTCGTTGTTGCTGTAGTATCATTGTGTTTTTTTTTTTCAGACATTTGTGAACGAAATGAGAATTAGCCAGCAGCCAGTGGACTTAAAACTTAAGGACAATATCCGATTTGGATATGATATCCTTTAAAAAATTGCAGTTAATTTAGATCTTTTATCTCTTTTAATAGCAAGGTAAAACCATAATTAAATGTCTCCAGACTGATTGAATGACAACCCTGTATTCAAGCAAATTCTTGTATATTCTCTATTTTCTTCTCATACATTGAAACCTTCCCATCCCTGGCCCACACCAGACCTTAGTAATTACCATATAAGTTGCTAAGGTTTATGGAATGATAGTGAGTCAGTGATATTGTTACTACAATCATGTGGCAAGAGATACAATTCACTGTGACTTTGAAGATGACTACATGTACTATACAAGGTGTCGAAACGTCAGTCACTGTCAATATCAGTTCATTCAGGACTACACCAAACCAGACAATCACATTCCACGTACTTATGACATGTCTTCTGGGCTCAAACCATTCACTGAATTATGTAGATTTTATTATAAAATTTTAATCATTGCGCCAGGCAATCTTCTGACAGGACCACAAAAATTTGCCTTTCATTATATAATATATTTTATTTTTTACTTTGGGATGTCTACTGACTGCAGTATATCCATGATTCTCAATTGAAATTGTAATGTTTAATAATTTTAAAGAAAATGCTGATTATATAATTTTCCCCCTTAAAATTGAATGCTTCAAGGCATTATATAAATCTCTTCCACTAACATTGTAATTACAAATGCCATCATTTAAATATGTAGGAGAAAAGATGGGAGAAAAATATATTTGCTCCTCAGTGAATACTTTACCTTGAATCTGGCTATTTTCAGTAGTGTTAATGTGAAATGCTGAAAGGACTGCCTTAGAAAAAGAGAACTTTTGGACTGAAATGTATGTTTTCCAATGTTGCTGTGACAAACAAAATATTAAAATGGCTGTCACTTTTGGTTAAAGCATAAAATAAATATTAGCAGGTGGAGTATGTGATTGGTTTTTGTGGGTGTCTGGAATAATAGCAAAATTAGACCCAACAAAAAATTATATGCAAATTTCAATCTTGAGTTCTGGCTGTATTTGTTGCTTTAATGGAGCTTTGTGAATAGATGAATCCTTTGAATTTCCGTCTAGAAAATAATCAAGACATTTTTATGTTGAAGTATGAAGACTGCAAATAATGCAGCAGACATTTGAAGAGGGAAAAATCTACTATGTGTGTTTCTCAGACACCATTTCCAGAAATACTTTTAATTATGATCACAACATGTACATCTGCCCTCAGTCTTGTGGGCCCGTGTTATGCCCAGGCTGTTTCCAGCCAGAGCTTCATCTTCAACGCCAGGTACAAATTTTTTCTCATTTGTATAGCTGATAGTATCATTTTCACTTTCACCTACATGCATACTCCTGTTCTGTAGTTTTTGTGAAGGAACGATATATGTATATATAAAGTTTGACATTTCTTTTCATTGAAAAGATTTTTGTCAAAATGAATAAACATGTGTTAAGCAGTTGAAGAAAAAATTATTTCTGGGTTTTTGCTTACAACATTTTTTCAAGTCCAAAGTTGGTTCAACTTGTCCTTAGTAAGATTTTTTGTTCTTAAAAAAGTAATGTTTTTATTTTGATTTTTAACTGAACTTAATATTTTTATGGTAATTTTTTATTAGTAAAGTACTACATGTGTCAGGTTATCATTTACACATTTAAATGTGCTTAGCAAATGACTGTTTGCAACATTGATTTAAAAGCAAATATCAAAATTTATCTTTCTCTACACAAATTAAACTGAATATATAAAATAATCTTTTTTTTTTCCCTTACTCAAAAGATTTGAATCATGTCCTCGGCACAAAGCCTGAGTTTTGGAAATGGTTGAAAAACTACACTTGTACATGCACATTTTCTGGTACTAACAAAATATATTTAAGCCATAGAAGTAAAATAAAAATGGAACAAATTAACAATGTTTGCTTTAGTTTGCTAATACCAGTACTTCTTGAGTCAGTTATAGTGTAGAATAATTATTTGTTGGAAATCCATATGCATATTGACCAAGCATTACATGTATGTCAAGGTGATTGGATATTCATTAGGTTTCATAAAAATGCAAAAAGGATAAGGCCAATATTCATGATCTCTTCTATATCAGTACTAAAATCTTATTTAAAAATGTCAGTAGTATTACAAAATATTATTTTTGAATTTTTAGTAGAGTTCATTGATAATTTTTATTATTATTGCATTGAAATATACAGCAAGTGATAAAATTACGCCAACGTCCTTTTTTAAATTATTTTTGGGTTTCTATTTTTTACATTGTTTTTTTAAAAAATGAATTTTTGGTTTTGAAACAGCTGCAAAGCATTGTGGGATTTGTTGACACATGTGTTAGGCCCAGGCCCCCCCAGACAGGTGGTATTTTGATTACATAGCAGGTGCCTCCAGTGTAATAACAGCATGCATTACTGGTGACAGAATCAAAGTAAAGCCACAGTATTTAAATTCAGACTAAAACAAGAAGTTAACTCCTTTATGATCATCTATAAGGCCAAGAATTCATGTGACATAATCGATTATGATGTCTAGAATAATGTTCATTGTACAGTAGAAGCCTGTAACCCTGGTTGGGCCAGTGATCAAAGTTTATGAGTCAGAAATTGTTAATTAACATAAGAAAAGATTAAATCTCTTTGTTTGCTCCTCAAGCAGTGGATGTCATCTGCTCATGTGGTTTTGTCACAGTTCTAGGATTTTAGCCATGGTGTTACTTTTTCTCTTTAAAATAAGGTTTGGGGATTGGTAGACATTTTACTTTGGCTTTCATTTTGTTGAAGTTTTTTCCAAACAAAGCAGTCATTTCTATATCCTGTTAAATTTCCTTTCAACTTATATTCAAATTTATTTTAAGGGATCAGCTGACATGTAAATTTCATGTATTTGACACTTGATTTTTTTTGTCTTAAAAATCTCTCAAAAATTGCCTTTCTTTTTTAATCCAAAGTTTTAAAAAAAGATTTCTATTTCATTGGAACTGGGGTGTTTATTTTTATTTGGTTTGACCATAAGCTTTTTCCTTTCTGATCACAGTTCCCTAAATTGTATTAAATTATAATGAGTCAACTACCAGACTGCACTTGTCATGTAGCTTAAGACTGATCATCACAAAAGAATCGATACTTTGAAATTGAAAGCAGGAATTTTTCCTTGGTGCAATCAGTTGCCAAGGGAAATTTGAAACCCATGAGTTGAGTTTTGGATGTGATGTTGTTTTTCTGTGTGAGAGTATCATGTGAAGAGAAGATCCTCTATGGCCCTAAATGGATTTCAATTGAAGAATCAAGCACACTCTGTGATGTCCTGCGCTGTGCTACAGGAAACAAATACTTGTCAAGAAAACTTAAAGTTGTTGTGGCAAGTGAGAAGTCTTTGAAGGATTTGTCCTTTGTCAAACTCTGCCTTCCAGTGCTAATTTTGGATAGAAGTGACAAGAAGATTGTTAGCTTCCTGTTGAAGCCCAAAGATGCTGTCATCACAGTAAGATTATTTTTTTTGTGTGATGCTTGTATAGATTTGCAATGTATGGCATAACTAAGACCTCATCCATACAAGGATTCATCAAACCTATAGTCTTTACAGTTCTATGGATCAATAGAGTTTTTTCAACAATACATCCTGTACATTGCTCAAGTGGCAACTGCCCGATATAGAAGTACTTGCACAGTGATTCTTATGGCCCTCTAAGTCTTATTAGTAAAGCAAGAAATATATATAATATTCTTTGTCAAGAGATATAAAAAAGTAGCTTGTTTGCTTGTGTATTCACGAAATGGAAGATTTGATGTTCAATGCCATCTTGAATTTACATGTTTCATTTACTCTAACACAATAAATTATATACAAATACACATATTAGTTAGGTTTAAAATTCAAAGTAGACTGTATATATTTTTTGTGTTTTCTTTGTATTGGTAATCCATCTAGCCTCATGTAGCAGCCAACCTGGAAAATTATTGTGGTTTATTGTTGTTATATTGACATAACTTTTCAAGAATTTTATTTTACTTGTGCGCTTTTGTAAAAGGATTGTTTTATTTACAGCAGTTCATTCATGATATGAGCTCACTGAAGTGGTACAGCTGTGTTAAAGATCAATGGACCATGTAATCTAATAGTCAAATAGCTTCCATTTTAGATTATAAGATCACAAAATGGTTTAAACTAAAAATAAAACAAGTTTCCTAGTGATAAGGTGTACTTAAATAAATTTGTTTACAGACTATTCACGGCAGTGCACCTTTACATGCATTTTGATCACTATTTTTCATTTTCTTGAACAGTTTTTGGCCAAGAAAATCGAATGCTGTGAAGCGGCTATATAAAATGTGTTTCATGCTTCATAAAATTTAGGATTTCAAGATTACTCTTTGGTAGTTTATAATCTTTTTTTTTTCCAAGCCCTGTAATGTTCTGACAGATCTAAACAATACATTTTTTTATTTTTGTTTGTGTCTGTCTATATAGTTATGTGTGTACAGGGGAGATAATTATAGAAATATTTATGTGCAATTATAGACTCAGCTCTCAGTAAACTTTGTGAAATCAGGTAAACTACTGCAACCTTCCTTCTTGAAGGTATCATGCAGAATGCTTTTTTGTAACAGACTTATTGCATGCCATTTAGTTTCAAGGGTTGGTAGTTAAAACTAACAATAGACAAGAATTTCATATTTTGATGTACATAGTATTGCTGTTTTGGAATTTTTCTTTTATTAAATTTTGTTGTGAGCAGCTTTGAATCTAAAATTCCGTTATCTTCCTTAACTGTCCAAACACTTAAATACTTTTCGAGTGGAGCTTTTGCCTCAGAGAAAAAGGCAATTGGTGTTTGATGATAATAATAACCCAGAAAGACAACAATTTAATGGAGACAATGATCATTCATTGGGAACTGTTTGGGAGTCTTCTTACAGAAGCCAGGTTTACTGTTGCATTGTTATTTTGTTCCTTCATTCAATCTATAGTCCTATCACAAATAAGGTTTGCTTGCTTTCATTCGTAAGCTGGGCTTCTATCCTTTAAAGTGCAATTTGGTATTTTTGTGTTAGGGGAAAAGGATCATATATGTTTCTGGGAAACTGCCCACCTACCCTTCCCCTAAGACAACATTAACACTTACTTCTCACTTAGGGCAAAATGTTGGCTTAAGGGAGGAGTTGGTGGGTGGGTGGTTTCCCAGAAACACATAATGATCCGAGACTACCATGTGGAAGGGGTGGGATAATCTTAAAAAAAAATTGGAGTTAAAATTGAGCTCATGTTAAGGGGACTCTTCTAGATCTGGTTGTGGCTAAAGTTAAAAACAACCTTTCAAAGCTAGAGTTACCATTCTAAAACAGACAGCAAGTGCTGTATGAACTGTCATGAATTAAGATTTACAACTGCAACAAAGACATTGACATTGTATGTCATATCTGATTGGTCCATACCACTAATTTGCACACTGTCCCATTGCATTTTTAATTCTTTCACATACAGCCCTCAGCAATGCCTGCATTGATTCTATACTGAGCACTCGAAATGATACCAAATTTTCAGTTTTTCTCATGTCATAGTCTACCTCCAAGGCACATTGCCTTACAAACTTTGGGTGATCAGGAGAGACGGCTTGCTAGGGGATCTAGAACTACACTAAGAAACAAAATGTTTCATATTGAAAATTTAGAGGAATTGTGTTTAGTTCTAAAGGTGTTATTGGTAGTTGATTATAATATTGCTTTCCTCCTGTCATTTCTCCTATTTTAGCCAGCTTCACCTGAAAGAAAACTTTCCATCCAGTCATCTGCTCACTTAACTAATTCAGATGAAGATGACAGTCGTACAGGATCTCCTGATCAGGGAATGCATAACATGTACCATGTGAGTCAGGCAAATACAGTGTTCTATATTGTTCACTGTGCAGTTCTCTTCCCTGCCTGGAGAGACGAACATAATGAAAGATTTTTGATTTGTTTGTTTGTTTGTTTGTTTGTTTATTTTGAAAACAACACAACATGTTTTACCAGCTATTCAAAGATGTTCCAATAGAGTTACAGGTTCTAAAAAGTAGAGGCATCAGAAAGGACATCAAAAGTAAAAGCCCCTCCACCCTTCCAAAACGAAGAGGAAAACTAAAGTGTGGGTTAAAGATGAGAGAGGAGAGATAGAGTGAAAGAAAGGGGGAGGGGGTGGATGGACAAAGGGAGATTCTGTGACCAACCACCAGGGAGACCCAACTTTTTTTCGTATTACCTGCCACAAGCAACACCCATCTATTGGTGGGTTTTCAAAGACGATGCATATCCCTTTTAATTGAGTTTCAATAGAGTACTAAAGTGATGACGTCATAAAAATGAAATTTCAGAAATTATGAGATTTGTCAGGATATTCTGAAAGAACAATGTCCAAGAGGCGTACTTACCAAAAATGAGCATTTCAGGACAAATTGTCTCTGCAATGTTAGCCGGTTATACTCAGAAAACTCCATACAAACCCTTCTAATTTTTTGGGGGGTCGACCCAAAAAAATTTAGAAGGGTTTGTATATGGAGTTTTCTAAGCATAACTGGGCCACGATCTCAGAGACAATTCGCCCCGAAATGCTCATTTTTGGCAAGTAGGCCTCTTGGACATTGTTCTTTCAGAATATCCTGACAAATCTCATAATTTCTGAAATTTCATTTTTATGACGTCATCACTTTAGTACTCTATAATGAACCCCATAAACAAGTCGGTTTACAACACAGACCTAAGATTAGTTTACATTCAAACCCTGCTTTACCGACACCCACTTCATTTGGACACCTCATTATTTATGGACAGTATTCCTTGTCCTAAGGGAAAGTAAGCCCTCACATTTTCTCTAAATTGAACCAGCTTGATACAGACACTTTCAATGGCCCCCTCAGTGTTTGTATTAATGGGGTGTGACAGTACTTATTCTTACATTATTTTTCCAAAGACTTCACCACTTACATGAACAGAGAAAGCCTCTAATTTCCCATTTTCTTTCTTTCTTACTACATGACAATGTGTCTTATAGTAAACTAGTCTTTGAATATGCATTGACTAAGGCTTAGTAAACGGTTTCCTTGGTTCAACTTGAGGACCTCCCATTCTGTGATTTGGTACTGGTAGAATTGTATTGTTTTTAATATCTTTTTGCTTTTTTCCTAGGGGGTACACTCACCGCACACTCAGTTCCACCCCTACCCCCATTACCCCTACATGACACCAATGTACCACCACCATCCCCCTGTGATGTGTCATTGTCCCTCCTGGTGACCTGTGTCTAGTGGACAGGTGAGTGGGGTGCCCCCTTGTGGACCATTGAAACAAGTAGTAGTCTAGGCACCTCATCCAAGCTGGAGTCATGCTTCACCGACAGCATTTCAAGTCAGGTTAGTTACACCAGTGACACCCTCTAGTTACCCTAGTGAAACCCCCAGTTACACTAGCGACAACCCCAGTTACCCCACTGACACTCCCCAGTTACACTGGCAACAACCCCAGTTACACTAGTGATACCCCCAAGTTACACTAGCGAAACCCCCCAGTTACACTAGTGACACCCTCTAGTTACCGCTCGCTCTACTATGGGAACTTCTCGTAGTCTAGATCATAGATGACGTACTGAATGATTGTTTTTGTTTTAGATCAAGGCTTCAAAGGCCCATGTCTGGTAAGTCGCTTAGTACAGCTGTACTTGATGTACAACGTGGAGGGTTTCTCAACTACGGTCATTCCTCTGACCAGCTGATAATCCAATGAACCAATCAGAAACGGAGGTGGACACATGTAGCCGCCGCCAAAAAGCGCGGGAAAACGTCTGCGCTAAGGAACGCGAAGGCCATAATTGGTTTTTGCTTTAAATCTGATTGGTGGAGCGAAAATACGTCACACGCAAAAAAACCTGAACCTTTTAGACGGGCGCCGAAAAATTTAACTCCTGTGATTTAGTTTTGATTGGATTTGCTTACTAAGCGCCTGATAAAAACATAACATGTAGCGGACTAGAGCCCTGCTTGGGAGTTGGAAACTTCCTTTCAAAGCTCGCATTTTGACTGTATATAGGAAGCGAAGTTCCTTAACTCACAGAGTATCCTTCCTTATTTCTTTCTTAACGGTTGGTAATATTTTTTCTTTCTTTCTTCGTACACAGTTCCTGGCGAGAAATTCGAAATGATAGTGAAAGGAAGCCCCCTTTACGGTCAACCACCGTGGTGGGGTTGGGGCTCATCCGACGACGAGATTTACAATTATCCCAACACTGCTTCCATTCTCGAGGCCGATACTCAGGCAGGACAAAAAGTTGTGGCGTTGAAGAAGAAAAAATTAACAAAGAAAGACGCGCTTGAAATGGCGCAAAGACGCCACAGCATAGCGACGACTTCGGTTCTATCGGAATCTAAAGCGAGAATTGTGGCTACGAGAACGTCTAAAACGACTTATGAGTCTGCAGAGCAGAACAAGGCGATGAAAAAGCGCGAAGAGTATGTACTATTTCAGAAACAATCTTCATTACCGTATACGGAATATAGCGATCAGTTGTCCCCAGTATTTGAAAACTCTACTAGTCGAGACTGGGAACTGCCTGACTCACAAAGCGAAAAGTCTAGTCTCCTTGAATGCGATTCATCTCAAGAAAATTCTCCTGACGATTGCATCGAAGGACAATCAAGACCGGGATCATCATACGAGATTCCTATCATACCTGATTATGACGAGATTCCAGAACGACCTGTTAGTCAGAAAAGCGACAAGGAGAAATTGAGATCGCAAGAAGATGTACGGAAAAGTGCTGCGGGGAAGCAGGACGGAGCGGCAAGAAAGAAAGTTACTAGTAAAGTCAAGAAGAGAATTCTTTCTGCTGACGCTCCGACAAAGAATGGAAAAACATCATCGGGTAATTGAATAATTTTTTTAGGTAAAAAATAGGGGAAAATCTGATGTCAAGCTAAGACAAACAGAATTCAAGAAAACGGCCGGTCGAGAGACGGCTTTCGTTTGTATCGTCCCCTGATATACATGGCCTCGGTTGACGTAACCTGCGAGCAAGCTCTCCCGCGGGGGCGCTCTGGCGGCGGGGCAAGAACCCCAGGAGAGCTTGCTCGCAGGCTACTGTTGACTGGGTAGCCCGGTCTTGTCGTCATTTGATAAATGCAGGAGTCCATGAGCGATCGTTACAGTTGATGACAAAAATATTAGTGGTTTCACTGAACGTGCCAAGGGTATAACTGAGGTCCGTTACCTTTATTTTTTAGCTTCTAGAAGAAACTCAAGTGACACAAGCGAGTCCGAATATGAACCCTCTTCTCACCCCTCAAGGCGTTTGGGCGTGGTCACCAGAGGTTATCCCTCTTCTGGTAGAGTGTTTGGTCTGACCGAAGTCAGCCTGCAGAGGGAAGGCGATGGAGGAAGTAGAGAGGTAAGTTGCTTTCAAAATCCTGATTTTAATCACATACAGTCTAACCTCTCCTTACGGACACCTCTATAATACGGGCACTTGTCTATTACGGACAGTTCGTTTGGTCCCAGAAAAGACAAAAATCATACATTCCTTACCTCTATAATACGGACACCTCTGTAAAGCGGACACTTGGCCTGCCCCTTTGGTGTCCGTATTAAAGAGGTTTGACTGTAACTTTTCTGAGATTTTCTGAGATACTGGTCGGTCAGTAGCTGTCAGTAGTCGGTCCCATCCTTACAACCTTTTCTCTGTTCGATGTTTTTCTTTTCAGAGTCTTTCACCAGCTCCTCTGCCTAATTGGGTACAACAGTGGACGAACGACAGCAATAATCCAGGTTAGTGATGTTAATAGTGGAACTTCCCGATCGTTTGACTTGCGTGCAATTTCCGTACTACTAGTCTGCCAGTCAAATTTAAGTGATCTAAATTTAAGTGATCATAATCTCTACACATTCAATAACGTTCATTGTCATCAACACAACAACAAAGTGATGCAGCTTTAACAATCAAGACAATAAAGGACAAAGAAAAATTTTTGCACTGAAAAGGAGTTCATAAAACATCAAGTCGTGCTTGCGCGAACATGTCTCTTTACAACTGACCTGCACAGTTATGTCCCTTGTCACACAGTAATTGTATCACTAATAGGGTTTTTAAAACCACCTTTTAAGTTCTCCAATCTTTGATGTTTGCCGGTAAATTGTTTCCTAAATTGCACCAAGTTTCTTGATTAACCTTGATTGTTTTAGGCAAAGATTACTCACTTTTCCTTCCCTCCGTCCCTCCCCCCTCCCCCTTTCCATCCGTTTATCTTTTTATTTTTTGCTTATCAACACGACCCAGGGGAGTTCGGATTAAAACTTACAAAAGCTATTGTCAGCCTGGTTAATCATTGCTATGTATTACTAGGCGCACTAAAGAAAAAGCTTTCCTCGCGTTAGCAAATTAATTACAATATTGATTTCAGGAAAAGAAAGAACAAGCGAGCAAGTTCAGCGATTTATCTATAAAGTTAACCGTCTCTGCGGCGGTTTCCAGTCTAGTTATTCTCGAAGGAAGGAGCTTTCGGCCCATTCAGGGCAACTAGTACTTTCAGGATATGAAAACAAACAAGTCAGTTTAGTTATTTATCCATGAAGTTAATGATCTGCTACGGTGTTAAGTTATTTCATTTAACATGACACATGTCACAAAAAGTCGTATTGTTTTCCGTACAACAGACAACTGTTCGGTTTACCAACCCATCGAGGTACTTGGATCATCTAGTGCGTCTGAAGATTCTACCCATAACAGTTGTATTATGTCTTCTTCGAGCATTCCTGTACCGGTGCAACGAGATGACTCAGGTATGTAAGATACAAGCTTTGAGTAAATACATCGGCTTCTTGCTTGTTCAAGAACTTTGCGTCTAGATGTCAGTTTTCCACTTCCAGGAATAAATCAAATGTGCATCGTCCGGCATTAAAATGTAATCGAACGTAAACTATGAGGCTGAACTTTAAGCTCAAGAGGCGAGTGTACTTTGTTGAAAATTTCGGAATTTACCGACCTTTAGTTGTGTTATGATAGTATTAGTAATACCAGGAGATAACAAGCTTGCAAATCTTTTATAGCAACTGCGACCAGGTATTTTTTCCTTCTTCTCTTTATATAGATTCAGAGATAATATGGTCGCCGAATGAACAGACGTTTTTCTGTCGTGTTACTTCATTTCGGATACCTGAACGATAAATATACGAAATTAATGTACCAAATTAAATTACATGGAATTAATATCAACGAATGGCGTGAATAACAAACTGCCTTCAAATTAATTAACAAAAGTTATCGGTTTTTATCCTAATTGAAAAGCAATTTACTTTAGTACTGTTCACTTTAACGTTGATATAATTGTAAGGAATTCAAACAGTAAAAAACTTCATCAGCATCCGCCGCATACATACGAACCTCGGCTCAAGGACCTGTAGGATTCGAAAGCGGGTGTGTCGCGCGTGGTGGTCACGGGGTGTCTTTTCGTGGCCCCAATCTTCCACACGCTTTACGCGCGCGTATCCGGGAAGCGGAAGAGTAAACCTGCAGCATATTGAAAGGGGAGGGGGGGGGGTGGTGCTCTCGCCAATTTAGGATCGGTTTGAGCCGCGAAAGCCACTTGTTTGCCTTGGGTGAGAGGACATCGCTCTTGGTAAACCCTGACTTTCTTCCAATAAACTATGCGGCAATTCCTACCAACTGGCGTGTATACCGGCCCTAGGATGCCTAATGATATATTTTCGTATTTCCTGTTGACAGAAAGCAAGTCGAAACTAGCCAAGGTTGCTTCCTCTCCCAGTCTTAGGCCAAGAGCGGGCTCTGCAAAAACGACATCGGTAAGATCACGACCATTAGTGTAAAGTTTTATATTCACTTGAAATCAGACAGATAGGATATACTTGTGAACAAATGGCTATAACTGAACTCTGGTGTTGGTCATGCTTTTTCAGTAACTTTCTTATTGTGCTTGGTTTGTTTTTCAGTCTGGTTTAATGCGAACCCAAAGTCTTTCTCCTTCCTCTCTGTCTTCTTCCCCGAAGACTTCCTTCTCACCCAAAATTTCGCGGAGTAAAACTATGTCGGCAGCCACGACTCGGCGCTCGTACCCTGCAGTGACTGGGGGCGAATCAGACAGGAAAGCAGTGGACAGCGTCCGCAGTATAGGCTTGGAAAGTAGTACATCAGACGATAGCGATGTAGAGTCAAGCGACGCGTCGCTGACAAAACAAGCAAAAGAATCGCGGAGGAAAAGTGATGAATCTGACAGGAAAGGGGTTCAACTGATTCCTGAAAAAGAAGGAAAGCGGCCACTGTCAGCCCCTCGTCCTAACAAAACCGCCATGCTGCGAGCACATAACAGCAGGGAAGCGGTTAAGAACAGCGGCGTTAAAACCAAAACCCCACTCACAGCAAAATCCAGGACTGCAAAAAACTCACCGCCAAACAGCGCCGGAAGCGGAAATAGCGCGGCGGCCAATCAAATAGGCGATTCGCCGCCGGCATCAAGGGTATGGAGTCCCAGCGTAAGACGGTCGACCAAGTCTTCCTCTGGTGATGAAAACCTGGATGTTGCGGAGACTGGTGTCAAACGTGAAGAAGTTGACGTCACACAGAAGGCGGTAGATGACGTGTTTACCTCGGGCCCAGTTCTTCCAGAGTCTCTTCAGATGAAGAGGGATGATCCTGTGAATAAAACCTTCGTCCTTGGTAAGCCTGGCCCGCACGTTCGGTTTCATTTGAGAAAGGGAGGGGTCGATGTGCAAAGGGAATAGAAAATAGAAAAGAAATAATTGACCCCCCTCCCCCACTCCCACCCCATCGTTGCGTGTCGTATATTTTCGCTCGCCCGCTAGACTTTCAAAAAAGTCCTTCGTCGGATTTAATATGGCGCGGGACGGCCGCTTTGCGGCCAAAAATGGGTGGCTCCGCTCGCCAAGAGGTCGACTTTTAGCAAGTCTACCCGCCCGCATGTTCCTCTTGTTTTAAAATCCCTGAGGAAAATATGCAGTTGATCCACGATACAGTCAAACCTTCTTCCTACGGAAACCAGTGGGGCATATCCAGCTGTCGGCATTATAAGGCTCCACAGGGAGAGGTTCGATTATATAACAAAAACCCTTAACAACGAGTAAAAACGGAATGATATCATTCTTCGCGCGTTTTACTAGTAAGTTTTATGACAATGGACCCCAATATGTAAAGTTCCCTAGCAGTTTGTGGGTGGTTTAGTGAATACGCAAACCAAAGCCAACGCACTGGGAACTAGATGGTGGTAATTTTGTTTGACGTCACTCGGTTTTCAGCATTCTGGCTGATCAATTCATAATTTAGGCCAATTCCATATTAGGGAATTCATTTGGACAAAGTTATTTTAAACTTCAAGACGGTTAAAAGTGCACTGGTAGCTAAGAGGTTTGTTAAGTTTTCATCGCTCTCTCAAAAAACAATGTGTGCTAATGTTCCTTTTTTCGCTCTTTAAGACGAAGGCAAAGGTGACTCGCCAATCACGTCTCCAGAAGAATCGTCCATGCAGGATTGGGTCAACGAAGTGTCCAACAGCAAAACCATCACTGAATCCAAAGATGCTCTTGAAGAAAACACAG